GCCGAGAGAGACACGGGAGGGGAACGCGAGTTTCGTGGTCCCGGAGTTTGCGGTCTGGTCGAATTTTTGCGGTGTGGTCGAATTCCCGCGGTCACATGAGCGCGCTCGTGAGCGTGAGAGCACGCGCTGTGCTACGAACCCGACTACCCGATTCCCGCTCACGGCTAACATCGGTGAATATCCTTAGGTTTTTTCGGTAAAGTCACGTAGGTAAAAACATTAAAAAGTAAAATAAAATAAAAAATAAAAATCACGACGTTTCGGAGGCAACACAAGCTTCCGTCTTCAGGTGGTACCGTCACAGCCACGACAGCTGTATCAAGTAAATGAGAGATTTCAGGAGTTACCACTGCGTTTAACATCGGTGAAGATGATCTTAACCGGTTCGGGCTCACATGAGTACCTGGTGCGATACGTAAACATCGCCACTCGGGAGACAAAGGTGGCCGGCGAGATGCTTGCCACCCACGGCCCTTGTGTGTCTTGTCGGCCTTCGTAGATACATATTCTTGGTTCTTTCGGTATTATTTCCCTTCTACGTGACTTTACCGAAAGAACCAAGAATATATATGACCTTCATAGATGTTTGCTAACAGCACTTGTCCCAAGAATCTGTTGAGGCTATATGGAGGATCTTTGTCTTTGCTGCACTATGAACCCGGCAAACTGAATTCAATTCCCACTCACAGCCCCCAACACCCGTGACAAGAATCTGAACCGGTCCTGGGGCCGGCCTCCCCTTTGGTCGACTCAACCTCAAATGAGTACCTGGTGCGGTGTGTAAAAAAACATCAGCACGAGAGAGACAAAGACGGCTGGGCGTGGTGCCGGCAACACCACCCCCTCGTGTGCCGTGCCGGCCTTCGAAGGTGCTACTCGCGAACAGCACTTGCCCCAGCAGTCCGTTGAAGGCTATACGGGGGACCTTTGTCTTTGTGTGCGGGTCTTCTTGCGGGATGTGTGCGGGCTCTGTCTGCAAATGCCATGTGACATCCACGTGCACCCAGAGACAACACCAACCCCAAGCAATCCTCGCTCCCTCCTCGTGTGTCTCGTTCAGACTGTTGGGGCAAGTGCTGCTAGCGGGCAGCTATGAAGGCCGCAATGGTACGTGAGGGGGTGGGGGGCAAGCACCACGCACGACCGCCTTTGTCTCTCCCGAGTGACGATGTTTACACACCGTACCAGGCACTCATTTGAGGCTGAGTCAACCTAGGGGAGGCCCAGGACAACCGTCACTGGTGTGGGCCCTGAGGGGGAATCGAACTCGGGTGGCCGGTTTGGTAGCGCACGCAGCGCGCTAACCGCTGCGCCACCGCTCCTCCAACGGAATCCGCACGCACACACACACACGTACACATGCACACACACACACGCACACAAGAACGCACGCAGCCCTTGCCTTGACTATCTGCGTGGCTGTATGGGGGGGGGGGGGGGGCATCTTTGTTTTTTGTTTCCGTGCGCGTACTCGGCGTCACGTGCCTCTCGCAGCCTGAGCCAGTTTCACGGCGATCTGTACAACCCAAACTCGCGCTCGATCACGCTGCACTGCCCCCCCCCCGCCACCCTTGGTCTCTCCACTGCCGTGTACCCTCAGGACGGCTCTGCTTTGGGTGGCCGGCGATAAGGAGGCGCCGGCGGCAACGGCATCTCCGGCGTCGATGCGAACGTCGTCCCCGTGTCGAGTTTGTCTTCGTCTCGTGCCGCCGGGTCGCGGCGACCGGCGCAGGCCGCCGCCGCCACGTGCCCTGACGTGCCCCCCCCCCTCACCCCTTCTTCCTCCCTCCCCTCCCCCCCGTGCGGCCGTAGTGAATGGAGCTGTCTCTGGACAGGAGGAGGAGGTCGCCCTCGGCCGCCTCCTCCTCCTCCGTGGCCGCCGTGGCCTCGTCGGCGGCGACCGGCCCCGCCGCTTTGTCTCCCGTGGCGCCGCCGCCGCCCCCGCCGCCGTCGTGCTCAAAGCAGGCGTCGCGCGAGTCCGGCGTGTGCGTCTCGTCGTCGCCGATGACCTCTTCCTCTTCCTCCTCCTCGTCGTCGTCGTCCTCCTCGTCGGCGGCGTCGTCCCCGGCGGCCACGTCGCAGGCCATCCTGAAGCAGGCGTCCCTCGTGTACAGCCTCGAGAAATCCGGGCGCGCGTCCGTGAGCCGCCAGTCCTCGTCCGTGCCGCAGCAGCAGCCGCCGCCGCAGCCGGCGAGGAGAGGCTCGTCGCGGCGGGGGGCGGACGGTGCGGGAGACGCGGCGGCCGGAGGAGCGGACGTGAGCGGCGACGTGAGCGGCGACGGCGGCGAGAACGACGACGACGGCGAGAGGGGCGCCGCGCGGTTCTCGTGCAGCTGCCTGCGGCTCGCGGCGGCGGCGGCTTCGGCGGCGACGGCGCGGAGGAGGAGGAGGACGTCGAAGAGGTGCGGCCTCGGCCCGGGCGAGGACGACAAGACGGAGTTGACGAAAGCCGGCTCGGCCGACGTGGCGGACCCGCGCCACCGCCGAAGCCGCCGCCGCCACCTCCTCCTCCGGCTGTGGCCCGGCTGCGCGCGGAGGGGGCGGACGAGGCGGCGGAAGGAGCCGGAGTCGTCGCTCGACGTGGGGACGGCGACGGCGGCATCGCCGGCGCCGGCGTCGGCACCGGCGGCGGCGGGCGCCGGCGAGGAGCCGACGAGGAGCGGCGCGCCGGGGCGGCGGCGGCGGCAAAACACAACGGAAGCCGGAACGCAGACGGAGGAGGAGGAGGCGCCGGGGTCGCGACCTGCGCGACGCGACGACGCCCTGTCGCTGTGGAACTCGTTCTGCCGCACCCTGAGCCAGCGCAGCACGGGACGGCGCTCGTCCCGCGCCGCGGAGCCCGGCGGCGACGGCTGCACGGCCAAGCTGCTGACGAACGCCGAGGGCGGCGGGCACGGGGGGGAGGGGGAGGCGGCGGTGGGCGGCGGCGGCGGCGCGGCGACGGCTCCGGCGCCGCCGCCGCACTCGGCCTGGAAGCCGTTCCGCCGCTCGGACCGGCGGCGGAGCCACCGGCGCGGGCCGGAGAGCGCGGCGCAGGACGCGGGGGTCCCGGCGGAGCCGGCGGCGGTGGGGGGGGCGGGCGGCGAACGGGAGGACGAGGCGGGCGAGGTGGCCATCTGCATCATCAAGCTGCGCTCGCCCGCCAAGGACGCCGCCGTCTGCCTCCGCGTCAAGACGCACGGCAAAGCCAAAGCAGCGGCGCAACTCGGCGGGGAGCTCGTCCGTGCCGGGGCGGCCGTGACGACGGCGGCGCCGGAGCCGGAGCCGACCGCGGCGGCATCGGCGGCGGCAGGGGCGAAGGAAGAGTCGGTTGGGAAGGACGACGACGACGACGACGTTCCCGAAAGGGAGGCGGAAAGAGCGAAAGAGCCGCACTGCTCGGCCGGAGAGCAGATCAGCATCGTGATCTGCGACTACGACAGCAACGGGCGACAGGAGCCCGCGGGGGACGCGAGCGGAGGTCCCGGCGACGGGGAGCGTCCGGGGGGCACGGCGGCGGCGGAGGAGGCAGCGGAGGAGGAGGAGGCAGCGCCGGCGCGGAGCGAGCGGTCGGAGGCGAGCGCCGGTGTCGGTCGCGAGCTGCACACCGGCGGGGCCTGCTCAGTGCCAGGGGGGAGTGAACGCCCAGAGGCGGAACCAGTTACAGCAGATGGACGCCTAGGCAGGGAACCGGCAGGTGAACACCTCGACACGGAACCAGCAGGTGAACACTTAGACAGTGAACCAGAACCAGCAGATGAACACTTAGACAGAGAACCAGAACCAGCAGGTGAACACGTAGACAGGGAACCGGAACCAGCAGGTGAACGCTTAGATACAGAACCGGAACCAGCAGGTGAACACCTAGATACGGAACCAGCAGAAGAACAGCTCGAGAGTGAACCAGCAAGTGGACGCCAAGACATGGAAAAAGCAGGTGAACAAGTAGACAGGGAACCGAAGCCTGCAGCTGAACATCTAGACTTGAAACCAGCACATGAACACTTAGACACGGAACCAGCAGGTGAACACGTAGACAGGGAACCTGAACCAGCAGGTGAACAGTTAGACAGAGAACTAGAACCAGCAGGTGAACACTTAGACACAGAACCAGAACCAGCTGGTGAACACTTAGACACGGAACCAGCAGGTGAACACGTAGACAGGGAACCTGAACCAGCAGGTGAACAGTTAGACAGAGAACCAGAACCAGCAGGTGAACACTTAGACACAGAACCAGAACCAACTGGTGAACACTTAGACACGGAACCAGCAGGTGAACACATAGACAGGGAACCAGAACCAGCAGGTGAACAGTTAGACACAGAACCAGCAGGTGAACACTTAGACACGGAGCCAGAACCAGCAGGTGAACACGTAGACAGGGAACCTGAACCAGCAGGTGAACAGTTAGACACAGAACCAGCTGGTGAACACTTAGACAGGGAACCTGAACCAGCAGGTGAACACTTAGACAGGGAACCTGAACCAGCTGGTGAACACTTAGACACGGAACCAGAACCAGCTGGTGAACACTTAGACAGGGAACCAGAACCAGCAGATGAACACTTAGACACTGAATCAGAACCAGCTGGTGAACACTTAGACACGGAACCAGAACTAGCTGGTGAACACTTAGACACGGAACCAGAACCAGCAGGTGAACACTTAGACAGGGAACCAGAACCAGCTGGTGAACACTTAGACACTGAACCAGAACCAGCTGGTGAACACTTAGACACGGAACCAGAACCAGCAGGTGAACACTTAGACACGGAACCAGAACCAGCTGGTGAACACTTAGACACTGAACCAGAACCAGCTGGTGAACACTTAGACACAGAACCAGAACCAACAGGTGAACACTTAGACACAGAACCAGAACCAGCAGGTGAACACTTAGACACAGAACCAGCTGGTGAACACTTAGACAGGGAACCAGAACCAGCTGGTGAACACTTAGACACTGAACCAGAACCAACTGGTGAACACTTAGACACAGAACCAGAACCAGCAGGTGAACACTTAGACACAGAACCAGAACCAACTGGTGAACACATAGACACGGAACCAGAACCAGCAGGTGAACACTTAGACACGGAACCAGAACCAGCAGGTGAACACTTAGACACAGAACCAGAACCAGCTAGTGAACACTTAGACAGGGAACCAGAACCAGCTGGTGAACACTTAGACACGGAACCAGAACCAGCTGGTGAACACTTAGACACGGAACCAGAACCAGCAGGTGACCACTTAGACAGGGAACCAGAACCAGCAGATGAACACTTAGACACGGAACTAGAACCAGCAGATGAACACTTAGACAGGGAACCAGAACCAGCTGGTGAACACTTAGACACGGAACCAGAACCAGCAGGTGAACACTTAGACAGGGAACCAGAACCAGCAGGTGAACACTTAGACACGGAACCAGAACCAGCTGGTGAACACTTAGACAGGGAACCAGAACCAGCTGGTGAACACTTAGACACGGAACCAGAACCAGCTGGTGAACACTTAGACAGGGAACCAGAACCAGCTGGTGAACACTTAGACACGGATCCAGAACCAGCTGGTGAACACTTAGACAGGGAACCAGAACCAGCAGGTGAACACTTAGACACAGAACCAGAACCAGCTGGTGAACACTTAGACAGGGAACCAGAACCAGCAGGTGAACACTTAGACACAGAACCAGAACCAGCAGGTGAACACTTAGACACAGAACCAGAACCAGCAGGTGAACACTTAGACAGGGAACCAGAACCAGCTGGTGAACACTTAGACACAGAACCAGAACCAGCAGGTGAACACTTAGACACAGAACCAGAACCAGCAGGTGAACACTTAGACAGGGAACCAGAACCAGCTGGTGAACACTTAGACACAGAACCAGAACCAGCAGGTGAACACTTAGACACGGAACCGGAGCCGGTGTCGGCAGGAGCGCCGCCGTTGTCTGGCGGTGGCGTAGGAGGCCGGCTCTCCATCTGCGCTGTGCCGGCGGCGTCGCCCCCGGCGAGAGCGGCGCCCGGAGCGGACGGCGCCCGTGCCGGGCCTCGCCCCGCCGCGCCGCAGATCGGCGGCGGCGGCCCGGACGCTTCGCTGGCAAACGGCAAGGCCGAAGGCGCCGCGGGGTCGGCGGCCGCGCCGGGAGCGGAGGATGTCGCCGCTCCCGGCCGGGTGCGGTTCGTCCGCGAGGGCCGGGACGGGGGCGGCCGGTCGGCGACCCGCGGCTTCTCGTCGGAGTTTGACGGCTGCGTCTGGGAGGAGCTGTACCTCATCGAGGAAGAGGAGGCCGAAGCCAAGGGTCCCCGGGGTGACGGGAGGGCCCGGGCGGAAGAGGAGAGGGGGAGAGACGAGGAGGATGCGGGACGGGGAAGCGACCGGAACGAGGAGGAGCGGAAGAAGGTCGCGGGGTCGGCGGGCGCGAAGGCGGCGGCCGGGCGCGAGAACGGGATCCGAGCGACCGGGGAGCGCCCGGAAGATCGTCACTCGGCCTCGGAGCGGAGGAGGCGGGGGGACGTGGGGGAGGATGGCCGGATCCGGACGGACGGGGGCGACGAGACGGAGGGCGACGATAACGGCCTCGCGTCCGCGACCGCCCTCGCGAGAGAGATCGTCGCGGCGGTCCTGACTTCGGCTCTCGCCGAGATCTACGGCACGGGACGCGGCCGCGGCGGCCGCGGCGGCGGCGGCGACGCCGCGGGGGCGACGTCTTCCTCCTCGCCGGGGTCGAGCGCGGAGGCGAGCCCGGCGGAGGCGCCGTCGTGCGAGGCGGCCTTCGGCGCGGGAGGCAACGCGACGGTGAGCGAGTGGCTCGCCGGCGTGACGACTTCCAGCGCCGCCGCCTCCTCGGCAGCTTGGCGCACGGCGCTGTCCCACGACGACGACGACGACGACGGCGGAACGGGCAGCAGCTCGAGCGGCGGCGGCGGCGGCGGGAGGGACGGCGCACGACGGCCGCCGCGGCGGCGACGCGGCGGGAGGGGACTGCTCGCGCCCGAGGAGGCCGAGGTGCTCAACAAGGCGGCGGCGTCCATCGTGGCCGACGTCATCGAGATGGCCAGCAGGGCCGTGATGGCCGAGGACGCCGCCGCCGCCCGTCGGCGGGAGGTGCGCGAGGTCTCGCGACGGCGCTAACGGCCGCGGTTCGTTTGGGGGGTCGCCTCGGAGCCGGGGGGCCGCTGAGTTTCCGCCGGTTTGGATCCGGGTTCTCACGTGCGGCGAGGTCACGGTCTCGGCCTGGTCACCCGTGGACTTGCGTAGACTCCCGTAAGAGACTTATAGACTCGGGTAGAGACCATAGACTCGGATAGAGACCCATATACTCAGAGACCCATAGACTCGGGTAGAGACCCATAGACTCAGAGACCCATAGACTCGGGTAGAGACCCATAGACTCAGAGACCCATAGACTCCGGTAGAGACCCATAGACTCGGATAGAGACCCATATACTCAGAGACCCATAGACTCGGGTAGAGACCCATAGACTCAGAGACCCATAGACTCTGGTAGAGACCCATAGACTCGGGTAGAGACCCATAGACTCGGATAGAGACCAATATACTCAGAGACCCATAGACTCGGATAGAGACCCATATACTCAGAGACCCATAGACTCGGATAGAGACCCATATACTCAGAGACCCATAGACTCGGATAGAGACCCATATACTCAGAGACCCATAGACTCGGATAGAGACCAATATACTCAGAGACCCATAGACTCGGATAGAGACCAATATACTCAGAGACCCATAGACTCGGATAGAGACCCATATACTCAGAGACCCATAGACTCGGGTAGAGACCCATAGACTCGGATAGAGACCAATATACTCAGAGACCCATAGACTCGGGTAGAGACCCATAGACTCAGAGACCCATAGACTCGGGTAGAGACCTAATGACTCGGGGAGAGACCCATAGACTCGGGTAGAGACCCATAGACTCAGCTAGAGACCCATAGACTCAGAGACCCATAGACTCGTGTAGAGACCCAATGACTCGGGGAGAGACCCATAGACTCGGGTAGAGACCCATAGACTCAGCTAGAGACCCATAGACTCAGAGACCCATAGACTCGGGTAGAGACCCATAGACTTCTGAAATAGAAGCTAATAGCTCATTGGGCTTGACCTGGCAAGATACACATTGTTTGGTTTTATTTTTAAGTGATTTGTTTACGTTTCATCTTCTTTGATACTCCTGTCGTGTTTGTGTTATTGTGTTTGTTGTTGTTGTTGTGTTTGTATGATTGTGTTTGTTGTTGTGTTTGTGTGTTTGTTGTTTGTTGTTGTGTTTGTGTGCTTGTTGTTGTTGTGTTTGTATGATTGTGTTTGTTGTGTTTGTGTGTTTGTTGTTGTTGTGTGATTGTATTTGTTGTTGTGTTTGTGTTTTTGTTGTTGTTGTGTTTGTGTGATTGTGTTTGTTGTTGTGTTTGTGTGTTTGTTGTTGTTGTGTTTTTTTTATTGTGTTTGTTGTTGTGTTTGTGTGTTTGTTGTTGTTGTGTTTGTGTTTGTTGTTGTGTTGGTTGTTGTGTTTGTTGTTGTAACGTTCTCACCCCATGACCCAACGGGGCATCTGTGGGATAAAAAGAGCTTCATAGCTCATCGGATTCCTCCTGCAGTCTACACATCCTGACCCTGATCCTGTTTGTGTTGCAGGAGTTTGGAGACGCTGATGGCCCAGCGGAGCAGAATTCCAGACACGTGCACACGTAGACGCGACGAGGTTGCACGAGGAGACGGATGATGAGGAGGTGGTGGTGGAGGATGATGATGATGATGAGTAGGTGAATGAGGAGGAGATTGGTGGATGATGATGATGTGGATGAGGATGATGATGATGAGTAGGTGAATGAGGAGGAGATTGGTGGATGATGATGATGTGGATGAGGATGATGATGAGTAGGTGAATGAAGAGGAGATGGGTGGATGATGATAATGTGGATAATGATGATGAGTAGGTGAATGACTAGTGGGCGGATGATGAGGAGGAGGAAGAGGGTGATGATGAGGAGGAGGAAGAGGAAGAGGGTGATGATGATGATGAGGAGTAGGAGATGGTGGATAAGGAGCAGGATGATGAGAATTATAGTGGCAAACATGATGAGGAGGATTATGTGATGGAGGGGAGGAGGTGGTTGATTGAGGTGGATAATGAGGGAGTTGAGTCGGTGGATGTGGAGGATGATGAGGGCGGGAGATGAGGAGATGACGATGATGATGACGATTTGGAGAATGGGAAGTATGAAGAGGGGGCGACGAGGGCAACCGTTCTGGCTGCGAGCAGCCTTCGTGCGACCGCTCTCCACTAGAGCACCCACAGAATCTATGAACTATATTTTAAACGATTCTTTATGTTTCCCAGGTGAGGCCCCACTGAGTTGTGTAGCTCTTGTTTCAGAAGCGACCCCCCTGGCCACCACAAACGACAGCACGACGAAAGTGGCTCATCGTCACGTGGAAATCTAGAGCGGCCAAAGACTCTAAACGCGTGGTGTTGAGTCTAAATGTGGAGGGGGGAAAACCGGAGGACCCGGAGAAAAATCCAAGTGACCACGGGGAGAGAGAGAGAGAGAGAGACACCGCAAACTCCACATATACAGCAGCAGGCGTCAGGATCAGGATCGAACCCACGACCTCCTGTATACCAAGCAAGGTAGTTAACATCTCCTAGCCACTGTGATGATGATGAGAGAGAGAGACACGCAAACTCCACATATACAGCAGCAGGCGTCAGGGTCGGGATCGAACCCACGACCTCCTGTACACCAGGCGAGGTAGTGAACATCTCCTAGCCACCATGGAGCCCCATCAACCGCGACAGCCCCAGGCCCCGCGCTTTGAGGGGGCCCTACGCTTTGGGGGGGCCCCGCGCTTCGTTGTCACGGTGTCTCAGTGTAAGAGTTTCATTCATGGGCCGTTCGTTGTTGCAGAGATGTAACGATTTCAAATGGGGTCCATCTTTTTAAAAACACCCTGTACTTCAGGTTTAGTTTGAAAGCGTCGGTCGGGGGGGCGGGGGGTGGGTCCACGCGTTGTGACTTGTCCTGGCCCCCCCCCCTCCTCCTCCCCCCCCCCCCCCCATGGACGGCCTTGCCGATCACCACGTGCCCCCCACAACACTTTGACGAGTCGCCGCGACCCGGGGCCGCGACCCGGGGCCGCGACCCGGGGCCGCGACCCGGGGCCGCGGTTGCCGCTCCGAGCGTCGATTCACTCCGCCTCGTCGCAGGGGCCACGTCAACCGGTTGCACCAACACTGGACGAGCGTCGAGCCAAAGCTGGACCGACGTTGGACAGACGTTGGACTGACATTGAGCCAACGTTGAGACATCGTTGAGCTGTCGATGAGCCAACGTTTGATCGAATGTTGAGCCAACGTTGACCCGATGTTGAGCCAACCTTGGACAAACGTTGAGCCAACGATGACCCAATGTTGAGCCAACCTTGGACAAACGTTGAGCCAACGATGACCCAATGTTGAGCCAACCTTGGACCAACGTTGAGCCAACGTTGACCCGATGCTGAGCCAACCTTGGACAGACGTTGAGCCAGCGGACAGACTTTGTCGCTGCTGGCACGTTCACCGTTCAGTCCGTGGCCGTGCGTCGCAGGTTGAGCAGATTTCGTTCGAAATTGTGGAAGAGAGTGAAAATAAAGCCCCCTCAAAAAAACATTACAAGAGACAATCTCCTCGACTGTTCTTCTACTGATGATTACCGTGTCGGATGTGGGGGGGGGGGGGGTTAGGGAGGCAGTGCCAAGAATGGTGAAGTATGATCCGCGTTGTGGTTTTCGGTCGAGGCTGAATCGTAGCGATAGTTTCGTTTTTTTTTACCCCTATAAAGCTCCTCTAGAACAACGTCCACCGGCCACGGGCGCGTTTCAGGTGCAGTCCTCGCTTAACGTGCCGGTAGCGGCCGTTGCCTTCCTGAAATAGCGCCGCGGTTTAGCGGGAAAACGATTTCCTGGTACGTGACGTTGTGTAGTAACCACGACTACTACGGTGTAGTAACCACGACTACTACGGTGTAGTAACTACGACTACTACGGTGTAGTAACCACGACTACTACGGTGTAGTAACTACGACTACTACGGTGTAGTAACTACGACTACTACGGTGTAGTAACTACGACTACTACGGTGTAGTAACTACGACTACTACAGTGTACTAACCACGACTACTACAGTGTACTAACTACGACTACTGCGGTGTACTAACTACGACTACTACAGTGTACTAACTACGACTACTGCAGTGTACTAACTACGACTACTGCAGTGTACTAACTACGACTACTACAGTGTACTAACTACGACTACTACGGTGTACTAACTACGACTACTACGGTGTACTAACTACGACTACTACGGTGTACTAACTACGACTACTACAGTGTACTAACCACGACTACTACAGTGTACTAACTACGACTACTACGGTGTACTAACTACGACTACTACAGTGTACTAACTACGACTACTACAGTGTACTAACTACGACTACTACAGTGTACTAACTACGACTACTACAGTGTACTAACTACGACTCTACAGTGTACTAACTACGACTACTACAGTGTACTAACTACGACTACTACAGTGTACTAACTACGACGACTGCGGTGTACTAACTACGACTACTACGGTGTACTCACTACGACTACTACGGTGTACTAACTACGACTACTACGGTGTACTAACTACGACTACTACAGTGTACTAACTACGATGACTGCGGTGTACTAACTAAGACTACTACGGTGTACTAACTACGACTACTACTGTGTACTAACTACGACTACTACAGTGTAGTAACCATGACTACTACGATGAACTAACTACGAGGACTACAGTGTACTAACTACGACTACTACGGTGTACTAACTACGAGGACTACGCGCTACGCAGCGACATGGCGGGATCAATCACCGAGGGCATGTTGCCACCGCGTTACCCTATCGCCATAACGCCCAGCCGCGCAGCTTGGGAAAGTAGTTCGTCTTCGACCGCTCAGAAACCGCGTTATAACAGGGCGTGCGTTCTGCTTTATAACGGAGTGTGTCACGCGTTATAACGGAGTGTGTCCCGCGTTATAACGGTGAGCGCGTTTTAATGGCGAGCGTTCTGTGCGAAAGTGTTCCCAAATGTCCCGCGTTATAACGGAGCGAGCGTTCCGCGTTATAACGGAGCGAGCGTTCGGCGTTATAACGGAGCGAGCGTTCCGCGTTATAACGGAGCGAGCGTTCCGCGTTATAACGGAGCGAGCATTCCGCGTTATAACGGAGCGAGCGTTCCGCGTTATAACGGAGCGAGCGTTCCGCGTTATAACGGAGCGAGCATTCCGCGTTATAACGGAGCGGGCGTTCCGCGTTATAACGGAGCGAGCATTCCGCGTTATAACGGAGCGAGCGTTCCGCGTTATAACGGAGCAAAGCGTTCCGCTTTGTGCGAAAGCGTTTCCCCAAATGTCAGAGCCGCGTTGCAGCGAGAACGCGTCGTCGTGTGAACACCGCGACACGCTAAGCGAGGACTGACCGCGCGTTTGTTGTTTACACGTCTCCCCCCCCCCCCCCCCCCCCCCCCATGTGTTGATGACATTCTGGCCAATAAAGACGCTCCTATTCCTCCTCCTCCTCGTCGTCGTCGTCGTGGTCCTCGAAGCCGGCGGTGGTTTGGGTCTCTGTGTAAGTCTATGGGTCATGTCAGTGCATAATGAGTCTATGGGTCTCTGTGTAAGTCTATGGGTCTCTGTGTAAGTCTATGGGTCATGTCAGTGTGTACGAGTCTATGGGTCTCTGTGTAAGTCTATGGGTCATGTCAGTGCATAATGAGTCTATGGGTCTCTGTGTAAGTCTATGGGTCATGTGAGTGTGTACGAGTCTATGGGTCTCTGTGTAAGTCTATGGGTCATGTGAGTTGTGTACGAGTCTATGGGTCTCTGTGTAAGTCTATGGGTCTCTGTGTAAGTCTATGGGTCATGTCCATGTGTACGAGTCTATGGGTCTCTGTGTAAGTCTATGGGTCATGTAAGTGTATTCTAGTCTATGGGTCTCTGTGTAAGTCTATGGGTCATGTCACGTGTGTACGAGTCTATGGGTCTCTGTGTAAGTCTATGGGTCATGTCACGTGTGTACGAGTCTATGGGTCTCTGTGTAAGTCTATGGGTCATGTCACGTGTTTACGAGTCTATGGGTGTCTGTGTAAGTCTATGGGTCATGTCAGTGTATTCGAGTCTATGGGTCTCTGTGTAAGTCTGTGGGTCATGTCAGTGTGTACGAGTCTATGGGTCTCTGTGTAAGTCTGTGGGTCATGTCACGTGTGTACGAGTCTATGGGTCTCTGTGTAAGTCTATGGGTCATGTCACGTGTGTACGAGTCTATGGGTCTCTGTGTAAGTCTGTGGGTCATGTGAGTGTGTACGAGTCTATGGGTCTCTGTGTACGTCTATGGGTCATGTGTGTGTGTGTACAAGTCTATGGGTCTCTGTGTAAGTCTATGGGTCATGTCACGTGTGTACGAGTCTATGGGTCTCTGTGTAAGTCTGTGGGTCATGTGAGTGTGTACGAGTCTATGGGTCTCTGTGTACGTCTATGGGTCATGTGTGTGTGTGTACAAGTCTATGGGTCTCTGTGTAAGTCTGTGGGTCATGTCAGTGTGTACGAGTCTATGGGTCTCTGTGTAAGTCTATGGGTCATGTGTGTGTGTGTACGAGTCTATGGGTCTCTGTGTAAGTCTATGGGTCATGTGAGTGTGTACGAGTCTATGGGTCTCTGTGTAAGTCTATGGGTCATGTGTGTGTGTGTGTACGAGTCTATGGGTCTCTGTGTAAGTCTATGGGTCATGTGAGTGTGTACGAGTCTATGGGTCTCTGTGTAAGTCTATGGGTCATGTGTGTGTGTGTGTACGAGTCTATGGGTCTCTGTGTAAGTCTGTGGGTCATGTAAGTGTGTTCTAGTCTATGGGTCTCTGTGTAAGTCTGTGGGTCATGTGAGTGTGTACGAGTCTATGGGTCTCTGTGTAAGTCTATGAGTCATGTCACGTGTGTACGAGTCTATGGGTCTCTGTGTAAGTCTGTGGGTCATGTCAGTGTGTACGAGTCTATGGGTCTCTGTGTAAGTCTATGAGTCATGTCACGTGTGTACGAGTCTATGGGTCTCTGTGTAAGTCTATGGGTCATGTCACGTGTGTACGAGTCTATGGGTCTCTGTGTAAGTCTGTGGGTCATGTGAGTGTGTACGAGTCTATGGGTCTCTGTGTAAGTCTATGGGTCATGTCAGTGTATTCGAGTCTATGGGTCTCTGTGTAAGTCTATGGGTCATGTCAGTGTATTCGAGTCTATGGGTCTCTGTGTAAGTCTGTGGGTCATGTCAGTGTGTACGAGTCTATGGGTCTCTGTGTAAGTCTATGGGTCATGTCAAGTGTGTACGAGTCTATGGGTCTCTGTGTAAGTCTATGGGTTATGTAAGTGTATTCGAGTCTATGGGTCTCTGTAAGTCTATGGGTCATGTCTCTATGCAAGTCTATGCTATGTGTACGGCTTTCCACATGTAAGTCTATGTGGCTTGTCAGCGTGCCTGTCTGTGGGTCTATATCACGGCTCACTGCCCCATCGGGTAGCTTCAACACGGACCATGAATCATTGAAGAATCTGAAGTCTTTGCGGTCGGTGTTGGGGCCCCGCTGTGCCATGGAGCCAGCGGATCGGAGACGCCGAGAGGTGCCAACCCAGAGGGAGAGAAAGATGTGTGAGGCTGGCGGGCGCTGTGTGTGTGTGTCCGTGTCAAGTTCAATTCAAGTTAATGTGTAATAAAAGGACTCGGACACTTCCTTCTGTCTTCGTGTCTTTTATTGGGTTCTCGTCCTCACCCACACGGCACTCTGTTATAACTCTGTATTTGTAGCCCCCGGCTATTCACTGCTGTTATAGCTCCTTCTTCCCTCTGACTCTCTGCTTCATCTACTGTAACCTCCTCCCTGCAGACTCGCTGCTACCTCTATGCAGAC